AGCAATTAAAATTAAGTGATTTGATTTACAGTACCATTTACCTCAGCAACGCCAGGCTTCAGATAGCTCTGTGAAACTGCTCTTTCATATTTTGGGCTAATGTGTCAATCCGGCTTTGCGCCTCAGGCTTTTTCGTGTGTGCTGTCCAAACACATGAGTGCGCTTTTCATACAGAACGGGAACGACAGGCGATTTAAGATTGCACGACAGAGAGCTGCAGTCTGAAACGACGAGGTGAACTCCAGAGGTTTCTCTAATGTTAGCGTGTGGGGATAATTCACTCGTATACACCAATCGGGCAGACAGCCTTCCTTTGGAAACTGTGAAGTCGGCTCCAATTAGTTTTGGTTTTCCATAAGAAATGTAGCAGTTTTCCAGATCAGCGACATCTCGAAGAGCTTTGAAATGCATGCACATACTAGAAAAGGGTTGTGCATGTTTTTACAAAGTACAGCGTGCTACAGCGACAAAAACCGGCCGCGCCAATTAAAAGTATTCATATTCGTTTTCTGACACCGATGCTGAATCTGTGATTTCAACTATTTGTTGTTCGGGCAACAAGTTTTTTTTTCTTTGTTATTCAGACATTTATCCAAATACTCTGTTGCAGATTCAGAAAAGTTTGTTCCCTTTTCAACATTTAAAACCCAGTCGATTGTGTCAGCAGACTGAATACATCACACGTGTGTTTCAGGTGTGGACCTACTCCGAATTCTTCATCGGAGATTATCAATGCTGTACATCTTCAGGATTGAATTAAGCATTTGATTGTTGTACTTTGCAGAATGATCGTTCCATTGTCATGTGTATTCATTGTGAAATTAAAATGTGTGGGGGAAGAGTTCATCTTTCTTATTTTCACAGATAAAATTCCATCTTAGTTAAAAGACTTTCAGGTCCAAATTACACCAACGACCCCACAGTGCCCTCCACCACTAAACCGTTAAATAGTTAATTTCTAATTGGTAAGAATATAGGAATCAAGTAATGGCTTTTGATTTTCATGGAATGGTTTGAAATATTGTTGCATATCATCTAATAGATTGTGTTGTAGTGAAGACTGTAATAAGCGGTCTTAATTTGCTTTCACGTTGTCTAACTTGTACACCAGGATCCGATGTGAATGTACAGACAACAGGCACGTTTGTACCTATTCGTGTTTTGACGCAGCGCCTCATAAAAAATATAAAAAACGTGAGAAGCAGATCGTTAATCTAACCAACGTACAAGGATACGACGAATTCTGCAAACATTATCCAAATTAAAAATAGATAAACCTAGAAAAACGCAGCGAAAGTAAACTAAAAAATCGGATTTGACGCATAATTCGAATTCACGACAATGATAGCGTTTGACGACTGAAATATCTATTTTAAATACAATAAACTGTAAAATGCCCTGTTTAGTTTTTGATCGCTTTAAATGCATCGGTCATTTTATGTCTTATATGACATATTTGCTGTCAACGTGTCTGGGTGCTAAGTGTTTATTCGCTGTGGCTCTGAATCCCCTGCTCGAAAGCACCAGGACGGCCGCTACAGTTCCGGAGCAGGACGGTTTCGGAATGCCGAGCTGGTAATTCCCTCTCCTCCGCGAGTGAATGGGATCGTGTCGGGTCATTTTCCATACAAAGCCGTCAGCTGCAGGTCCCGGCTCGCAGTCAGCCTCCTGGAAAAGGAAACCTCGCAGCCTTTATTATCCTCATTACCCGGGGAGACCCGGGCGCACCGAGCTAAGCGCGTCTCCTGGGGCTCCGGGATTAACTGTTGCGAAGTTGCTTCTCTGCAGCGTGTGCTGGGCTGTGGGAAAAAAAAGAAACGCCTTTTAAATATCGTCCATTTGACTCACCTTTCGGTCGGTATTTTGTTTTACGTTTGGGAAGGAATGTGCTGGCCATCATTTAAAAAGTGAGCGTTTGAAAAATAAAATCACAGACTGGCTACACTACGGTTACTCATCAAACGAAGCCCACTTCCCCCCCGCCCGGCGATCTTCTTTCAGGTATGTAATAATCGCCAGATCTACACTGCTTTCGTGTAACGAGGAACTTCCAGCCCAGTTGGTCTCCCAGTGATAAGAGGTGGGCATCTCTGGTATACGTGTGCTGGCGTCTTTAATGTTGCGGCTGGAAGTGTGACGTTCAAATCCTCTATGCCCATCTATAAAATAACAGGGGGAAAAAAGCGCCAAACGTGTTCACATTTCACCATTTATTAGAAGGAAGCGCTTTTAAAACCGTGCCGAACGTGTAGGAAGACGGTCCTATAAATACGGTCCGTGTGTAGGTGTTGTAAGAAAACGCCGCGCTGTTTTCGGCGCATGGTGTTGCTCTGCTGTTAATATTTTGGCAGGCACGTCCAAATACCTCGACTTCACGCAGATTCGGAGACTGCAGTGGCAATGGGCAGCGTGGGAGACCCCCAGGGAAACTCCGGGGTTGCACACGGAGGTATTTATAGATCAGTAGATGGCACTGTTTCTTCTGAGGTGCACGGTGCAACCCGGGCTGCTGTGAGAGAGGGCCGTGTGGGCCTTATACTGAGGTCCGACCTCTCTTGCGTTTTTCTTAAGACCCCTGCGATTTTATGATCAAATGTTATGTGGGTGTTTTAAGTGAGCGATTTCGATTTTGTCCTTTATGAGAGTTGACCGTGGGAAATCTTAAAGGGCTTGGTCGAAGTTTTCGCGTGATGATAACTACGTATTTACTTTGCTTTACGATAGTTCCCCACGGTTTCTATGTACTGTACGTTTTGTTTACTATGTTACTGGATTCTTCTGCCATAGTAGACCTGGCAGACGTGTGCGGTCCTGACACTAGATGCCAAGTGCTACACTTTCTCTAATGTTCTTGTAAAACAAAACATGAATCCAATAATATTTCAGTCTCTAAAATTGAAAGAAGGTTCTTTACCACTTACAAAACTCCCTCATTAAAGGGAAACTGCAGTGCCAATTTCTCAGACAGGTTTATTAAATCTCAGTATCAAAATAAATTCAATGATTTTATTGAAAACATCTACAAATTTCGAATTAGGCACAAAATCGTGAACATTGTAAAAATACAGTAAGTTGCCATGTTGTTGCAAACACCCGGTCTCATCACGGGCGAGGGCGAGAGTTCCCACGAATTGCGACTTGATACGGCCCTTCCTGCTCACTAGTCACAGTGATGATTAAGGTAATGCGATGTGGGAGCAAATAATTACAGGTTGTGCAGCAGACAATAAACCGTAGAAATGTGATCTGCATGCAGAGTTAACGAGTAGTATTTGTCTCAAAATCGAGAGCAATGTTTCTTTTGGATTAAAAGAGATGCACTAGTGTGATTGTTTACAATGTAATATGGCCGTTTCAGGTCACCGGATGTGGTGTTGCCTCGTTCTCAGTTGCAGACTATGGAGCGGCGCATACCTGACATTTAATCTATTTTGGGATGTAAATTGGAGGTTAAGGCGAATGTTCATTACCTGTCAGGTCACTCTGGGTGTTACTCAGCTTTATTTCTCGTTTGGACAAAAAATGAGTCAAGGTCAGTCACTCCTTTACGTAGCTGTGGAAAAAAAAATCAAAATCTCTTCATATGACAGGGACAAAAAGAGAAATAACATTGTAGGACAGAAAAAATAAAAATGTGTCCTCAGTATTTATAGTATAGAAAGAGGTCTTGGTATGTTTTTCGTATATTGTTGTCATATTTGAGATAAATCAGACCCTAGTATATTTGTGAGATTCTTAGTGAGAATACTATGACAGTTCTATTAGGATAGACACCTTGGTTTGAGTTTATTGACTTTAAAACCTCTTTTCATCTGCTTTCAGAATAAATGAGCTAGCCACTCTTAAACAGCAACTGTGATTACTTTTCTTATATATAACATTTTTTTCTTTTCTGTTCTAAAACAAAACTGTGTTCATCGTTTGCCAAAAGATTTTGTTTTGAGGGAAGTAGCACTAAGGACGTGCACTAAGGAGTTTGAGCTCAGGCTTTCAGAATCTCGAGTCAGTTCCCAACTCTGCAGCGCTGCCACCCTGAGGAGAGGTGAGTAAAGGTTAATTCCACACTCAAAAAGTGGGAAGATGAAGCACAATGTTTTGGCTTTTACAGATTACGCCGTTCCTTTGCAGCTAACGCGCACGGACACAGCTCCCACCCACCGCACCCCTGCCGTGTTACGAGTGACCCCAGACATGGCTGCAATATCCAGTTTTCCCACAACGCAGTGAGCATCAATGGCGCACGAAGGTGAGCGTCTGGTGCTTTTTGTCACTAGCTTTGCGTCGCGAACGTTGTCTCTCTAACGTTCTGGTCAGTTTGCACCAAGGCACCTTTGCGGGAAAAAAAAAAACACTTTAAAAAATTCATTAGGGGATTATCCGGCACAGAAAAGAAGCCACCGTCTCTCTGTAAAACTCGAAAAGAAAACGTGGTGAAAAATATGCGTACAAGGGCCCAGCTCCGTCAGACACTCCCACTCAAGGACTCACCTTGAACAGAGCTGCTTGTCACCTAGTGCTCTTCAAACACCCGGATCAGCGGGTCTTATCCCAGCACCTGTAGTGATCCCTGCTGATGTCAGGTGAGGAGCGGGGTGTTTGATCCCAGCCACACTGGCCTGCGCGTTTAGCGCCGGTTTACACGTGCAACTGCATTTCCGGGGTGCACGACCGCACACCTGAGTGAAATAAAACCCCACGAGGTCGCTGAATGTATGTATGCACGCACGCCTAAAATCCCATGCTGTGACAAAAAAATAAATAAAATTTTAAATATTGTTCGTGAGTGAGCCTTCCAGATCTAAATTAAAAATTTCAGCGGCTTTTTTATGTCATTTTTTACTTTCAGCCGTCGAAACTTAGGGAACTTTGTATTTTACATGTAGATCACATGGCAATGGAAAATCCGTATAGTTCAATGAAACACAGTACTCATTACTGTATTTATTATTATAATTACGTATCCGTTGCTTATATTGGTGAATGACTTTCAAATTAAAGTAGCATATTAAAAAAGTTTGGACTAAATATTTAATCATTTAATCTTTCAAAAATAGTTCGCGATAAAAGTATCTTTTTTTTTGTCTAACTTGAATAATGTTGTTTATACTCGCATACATACTAAAGTTATCGAAATTACCAAGTCAGGGAGATCAACATTCACCCCATTTGTTCTGTCATATGTGGCACAAAAATCGCACAAATGTATCTTTCATTAACCATTGACCAAAGTTTTGTAAACAGAATGGCAGACATGTCCTGCTCTGTGTAGTCATTTCCAATCTAGCACTTATGTCTGAGAAGGATGTTTGTATTGGTGATCATATTTTGTATGCCGACAAATCGTTTTCAAGTCAGTCCTCAAGTGAGACATCTCCGCTCCATATCACTGTGACCATTTTAAATGCAATATAATTTGATTTTCCAGTGGATGCCAATATCTGCATATGTTATTTAATCATGTAGAACGATTTTAGGGTTGGAGGCCATTGGTTATACCAGCTGGAGAATTAATACCTCACGCATCTATGCACTGTGATCCACACCTGCTAATTTTTCAAGCCTGGAGCTACGTAGAGGTGTGAGTTTGCAACATTCTCCTCACCTTTTCACAATAGAAAGTCTCATTATCAGCTGTTCTGCACATAAACTGTGAAATAAAATGTCTGTGCAAACCATTCTTGTTAGACAGACAATGAGGGTCTGCTGTATCCAAATCCGACAGTAATAAAGGTAATTGAGATGCCTTATTTACCACAGTAGGGAAATGGTTAATTTTCTCAAATATAATGTACAGTTCAAGAAAGGTAGCACAAGCGTTTTGGGCGAGTTTAATGTGTTCCTGTAAATTACAGATCTGTTTATCTTCAATCTCGTGTGCTAACGTTAGCGCACCGTGTGCAATCTAAAATATTGTGTGCAAGTGATAAGCAGCCTTGCTGCAATTTAGCACATTACTGCTAAGATTGTGTCTGTGTGGTTTGCACTCTATTTCGAGTGCCTTTCCCGAAATGTCCCGCTGTTCCACACCGAGTGTTCATGCAGGTCAGAGCAGAAATAGTGTAGTTCATTCTACTGACATCTCGCAGTACCAGTATGCTTGACTGTAATTCTCTACGCAGATGAAATAAGTGTATACAGTATATATGTATATGGGGAGAGGCACTAAAACTTCAGCAAATGCCCCTGGAGCCAATACTCATTTGTGTTTGCATTTATAATGTGTCTACGTATACGTTGCATTCGACATTTAAATCGTATACAATTCAAACCTAAGGTAATATTTTGTAAGTATAATTTGTAGGACAGCAATTTATCTCTTACATCAATAGTGTAAGCTTGGGATCAGGTCTGCTACTCTGCCTGATACTGCCCTTTAAGGCCTGCACGTTTAAGTCTGCCCGTCTGACATGCATGAAAAGAGGTGTACTCCGACCCTTCGGATATTCTTTTATTTTCACACGTCTGAACGGAACGGGCGCTGTTTTCTAAACAGGCCCCTTTTGTGTCCTCCATCCTGTCGGTCACTTCTGCTCCTTCACTGCTGCAACACTTAATCCTACCTGCCTCCCTGGCGTCGTCCTGGAAACCGGGAGGTGTAAACAGAGTAGCAGATGGTTGGGTGCACGTAGGTGTTTTAACAATTGCACTGTTTTGCGCTCAGAGATGGCAGGGAACGGATAAACCTCGAGTTAAACAAACCCCGTATTTCTGCTGTTCTCACTAAGAGGAATGTGTTGAGATCTGTTTGTTTATATCTCGTTTTATGTTCATTTTGCGCATATTGGTCTTGTCCAATTAAGGAGGATGGTGCCAGCCTGGTTCAGGTTCGAGGGCTGGAGGAGTTTTTTCAAGTTTGTTTCCTGGGGGAGCGCTTAAGAAGGTCACCTACAGGTCTCTATAGAAATGCCCCAGTTTTCTGTGAAGGATTCAGTAAGGGTATGTCTGTAGAGGTACACTGGTCATGGTAATGGGTTGTAGGTGGGGTCTCCCTTCTAGACTTCCTCTTACTTCCTCATTTCGCTTTTGACTTTCTGAGTAAAGCTACACAGTGCAGGCAGTTGCAGTTGCTTTGAAAAACGGAGTGGCTTTCTCTTAAGCTGAGAGAGGTTAAGCCTTCTAAAACCTTTTTGGCAGAGCTGCTGCTGCTTGTAGGTGCACATTTTTTTTTGTTCTGTAAAAATACTATTCATTTTCAAGGTTACAAACAAACGAGAGGAGGCCATACTGCCAGTCTAGCTTCTGAAGTTGATATTAGTTAATTGGTCTGAGGATCTTGTTCAACCGTTTCCTGAAGGAAGTCAGGGCACTGGATTCGACAGCTTTTGGTAGTGTGTTCCATCCTCCTGTCTCTCTTTGTGTAAAGGAGCGCTTCCTGTTCTCAGTCCAAAGTGCATTTCCCTTTCCCACTGACTTGGTTAGTGCCTTTGAGGAATTTAAATATTTGAATCAGGCCCCCTTGCTGTCTTTTTTTGTCAGTGTAGTCCATTACTAATTCATCAGTATGTTTCTTGTAGTGTTGGGGGTCACGGTTATGCACAGTTTACTAAATAATCTCTTGTTACTGTATTTTAGGATTTTAATGTAACATACCTTGATTCAATGTCTGCACTTTTATCTTTATAATATAATGTTTTTATTTGTTTTTTGCTCTCCAGATAGTGTAGAAAATAAAAACTGATGTGAATGCATAAATACCCAAGTTTCTTCAACCTGAGTGTTTTTCTATATTATATTTGGAGTTTATGTTTCTTCCTCTGTAACATTTTGTATTTGTCTGAATTAAATGTCTGCTCCCAGGTATTAGACTAGTCTTGAGTTTTGTCTGAATCTTTTTCAATTTACTTTACATTTGCATGGTCCCCATTCAGATCCCTCTAGTACTCCGCTCATAACAGCACTCCATTTTGAACATTCACCCCTTAACTGTACTCTCTTTTTCCTACCCATTATCCATCTTCACAAAGATCTACTTTCTCTAAACCCTCATGGAGTATCCTTGAAAATACTATTGTGATACTGGTGATGTGATGTTTCGGGTTCGTTGTCTGTCTGTATGTTTCTCCCTATTATTTTTCTTTTCTTTCTCCTTTGCTTTTTAACCAAAACACTGTGATGTGCGCTGTGTATCTCCAGAAGTGCTCTGTTTTGTTTCTGTGTCAGTGCTCCGGTTTGTTCTGTAATTGCTTCTTTGTTTCCTCTCCCGTAGGGTTGGGGTTTAAATAAATAAAAATAACAGAATTGCTTGGAAAAAACGGGCGGATGGTTTTATGGTTTAATTATATGTTTACAATGCAGCCTGTCTCACAGACAAATGCTTTGTAGGACGGATTGAAAACCATGTACGTAAATAATATGAGACTTTCCTGAACTTTCTTTATTAATCTTTCCTAGAAGGACAAGCAATCATTGCAAAGCGTACAAGACAGACAGACATCAATAATTGAAGTCCCTGCGACCCTCTGACTTTACTCAACCTCAGCAACAACTTGGAATGCTTTCCGAGTCTCAAAGCCTTTCCACAGCTAATTACAGTGTCTCTTCATTACAAATAATGATCTTCATAAGGATGCAGGGAGGTGGCACTAATTCAGGAAGACATCTTAAGGGAGTATTGTGTATATTTAACTCAATCAAGACAGCTGTGGTAAATAAACAGCTGTTACACCCAGCGACAGGGCCACCATCATCCTGTCTTTAAGCGTACTGTACTCTCCCCTGTGGAGAGTGTTTCGATAAGCCTCTATTCTGCCTCAGGGCTGACGTCATTTAATAATCGTTTTTTACCTTCCCACTCTCCACTACAAGACAGAAATACATTGAAGTGACATAATAGTGCCGCAGCCTGTCAGGTGTGTCTGTTACTCTGGTTTAATGGGGTGCCAGTGGTATTCTAAAACCACGAGTGTTTATGCTAGTTCAGCGCTGATTATATGGTTACATGTTTAGAGCAATTAAGTGAGGGTGCTGTGAAACCCAACCACCGTAGCAGACCCGCTCAGAATGGAAAATGCTCATTACCTTTATTGCAGCTTGGAACGGGCTGTATTCTGACAGAAAAACAAACGGGGCAGGTGTCTTCTGATGTCTTGTAACGTTTCCTTCCTGTGTGTGCCAGAGGAAAGCGTCGGGTGATTTTTAAGGCACGTTTTAACAGGGTGCCAGGAACAGGGGCCTGGCAGGTCTTTTCATAGCTCACTGTAGTGGAATAACATAAGCATGTTGCTGTTGATTTGGGTGGCATGCTGGCACAGTGGTTATCATTGCAGCCTCTGAGTGCTGGGGCCCTGTGTTCAATTCCAGACCTGCAGTGCTGTTTGTGTGGAGCTTGTACTGATGGTTCTTCCTGTGTTCACATGGGTTTCGTCCAGGTGCTCTGGTCCTATCCTCCCACAGCCCCAAAACATGCTGGCAGGTGAACTGGCTTCTGGGAAAATGGTTCCTGGTGTGAGTGTGTGTGCCCTGTGATGGACTGCCTGTACCCTGCCTTGCACCCCATGCTTGCTGGGACAGGCTGTGGTTCCCCTGCGACCATGAACTGGTTAAAGCAGCTGGAAAAATCAGAAGAAAAAGCAAGAGTTTCTGAAAACTCCTGTCGGTTCTCCGCAAGAGGGTTCATTTAGTTAATGCAGTGAAATATAATCCCGACTGAGTACATTATTTAAGAT